GGAGGCTGGATTCCACTGTTAGTCACTGTCCATCTTTGCTTACTACAAATATTCTCTTAGTTTATAATAACATATAAAACTATAATTAAACTTTTTAATTTCACTCAAAAAATCTATGTTTGCATTATCACAATTCTGATTGATTTATTCAGTTTTACTAATCAGTTTCATTTTGATTGTGCTTTAACCAAGTATTGCACAATAAATATAGATGGGTTATACATCAAAATAAATAAAATATACACCAAACAACTTAAATCAATGAAGATTAAAGGAATGATTAACCGATTAACTTAATACCTTATGCTTAACCATAATATTGATTACTTTCATTTGTTCCAATAATATATGAGCAACATTTTAAAAAAACATCTATAATTAGATACATGTAGTTAGTGTATGGTTTTTCACTTTTAGAAACTGTTACACAATCATTGAATAACATAAAACAAATAGTTTTAAAGTTTAACTTCCTCTTTGTTTAACAAACTGAAAAGTGATATGATTTATGAAAATATAAGTGTCAGTTAGTCAGTCAGTCAATCACAACGTAGAACTTCATACGTACGTACATCAATTCGAGTTGCCATACCACCTTAACACAGAGATGAAGTTGTCGATTCAAATCCCATAGTGGTAGAAGTAGTAAGAGTATAATCAGAAATCCAAAAGATTAGGGTTTGAAGAAATTATTGAAGGAGTATAGTACAGTGAAATAAATTTGGAAAGAGAAAAACATAAAGACATGAGGAATTCAGAAGATTAGAATTTGGCAGAACACAAAGAGTGGATGCACCTTCACCATAGCAAACGATTTTGAGCCATGTCATTCAAGGTTTCTAACCATCGATTGCTATCATCTCGTGAATCCCAACCAGGTAGTCTACACCTACCAACATGGCTCAGTCCAATTGTCAGTGACTTTATGGATTTGTGCCACGTTTTGGTCTGACCGCACCTAACTTTCTTCCAACCTACTCCTACACCATAAAACATATATAAGGGAAAATAAATATAAGTGAGATTTTTTTAATCAATGATGAGATTATGTCACTTATCCGAGTTAATAAGATTATCAAGATAAATAAGTTGATAAACACACACAGAACTACTTCACTAAGTATGATGATGTTGTGTAGATAAGTACACAATTTATCTATCTAGCCTGAAAGATACAAAAATATTTTTTTCATAGAGTTTTATTCTCTGAGCTGAAATGGTTTGGTCGTGAAACTTTCATTGTCCTTCTTGAACGACATCATCAGCACAAAGTTCGGGGTAGTCTTCTACACAAAAATGTACATAATGAGATGAAAATAAATTACTAATAACAAGGGTTTTCCAACTCCCCTAGATGAACTCGCCGTGTCCACCAACCCGGTTAAAGCGCCGGAGGAGAGACTAAACTACATGGACGACCTTTGAACGAATCTTAAATGACCTTGAGAAATATTAGCCAATCAGAAGACAGTTAGTGTACAGTAAAAGTTTATTATGAAAAACCAAAGAATTAAAGTGGATACACTTCTTTTACATGAGTCAAAAACTTCTCAAGGTCGGATATAGGTTCAGAAGTTCTAAAATCATGGTGCATACGGTACAGGAACACATCCATATGGCTCTATAGTAGTTGACCTCTGAAACTATGATAAGGTCTCAAAAATTCTTTTAGCCTCGACCACACAGCTTTAATGTTGTTGGTATATTGGTATGGTTTAGAGTTTAAGGTTAGAGTTAAGGTTTAGGGTTAAGGATGGGACTATATATTATGGACGACCTTTGAGCGACGCTAGAGTGACTCTGAGAGTGTCAACATAATAACTAAGACTAAATGAGGGTTATAAACATGTGTGAAGAATTCAAATTATGATTTACAACTCATAGTTAAGGTTAGGAATTATACGAACTGACATTAGCTATAATGCTAAAACTCTAGTTATACAAATGGATAATTGAATTTCGCGCCAAAATCTTATGATCACTTCTCTTGTAGACGCTGAATTATCACGCCTTCTCTAAAATCCATTGTAAACCGACCGTATGTAAGCATCAGGTACCGAACTTAGCGCCGTGACCTTGAAAACCCGCGAAAGCTTCTGATAGGCTCGTCCATATAGTTTAGTCTCGCCACGCCGGACATTCGCTTTTCGTCCTCTCAATTTCGTAAACAATAGTAATGCCAAGAGAAGGCAGTGAGTAGAAATTCCATGGTAGAGGCTATATACGCGTGGCCATGTGAGAGCATTTCAGGAGAGCGAGAGCGGACTCTCTCCACTCCCGGCCGTACCAGGGCATTTGAGAGCATTTCTTTTTCTTATGTACTATCAAAAACAGTTTATAAAAGTACAAATTAATACTTATTTATAAATTTTATAGTTGAAATCATGAGTAAATTGAAGCTAGACCATCATGAAAAATCTGGAAGCACTGGACAGCTGTTTTGTCCTAATGTAGGACTCCTCAGCGGCAATGTGCATCCACGATGCCACCTCGCGAGATTCGAACCCACGACCTATCAGTCTCTTTTTTATTATTATTATTAGTTTGTTTTTTTCTAAATTGAACAATTAACTATCTTTATTTAACAACGAATCTACTTTCAAACAACAACAACAACAACAACAAAAAGACCAATTTAATTTACATAATATTACACAACAAAGTTATATCACAAAAACCATAATCTACTAAGTGTCATTTGAACAGTTAGGTATCTAGGGAGCTATCTATTTATCTACCTATTTAATCATATGATCATAAACCTATGATTACATTTAGTTAATTGATTCAAAACATGATTTGATTTTTTTGCTTATTTTTTGAAATAAAATTTTGTAAAACAAAAACACTTGAGACACAATTGTATTACTACTATTAGATTTAACAGTTTCATTTGATGCAATAATAATAATAATAATAATAACAAAAAACTACGATCAACAAAATTGATATGTTTGAGCTAAGTTGATTATTCTTGGTAACGAACGAAGGCCAATGACACAATGACACGATAAGCTAATCTAATCCGTTTTCCCAGGTCCCGCTAATTAAATGAAGAAGTCCAAGGCGAAAAACTCAAACGTATATATACAGTAATATTCTGTCCTTGAGCAGCATTACAAAATAGCACACTCAAAGATACAAGAGACCAATAGCATTTAAGATATTTTATAAGTGAGAAATACGACTTGAAGATAAAAAGAGCGCCTTTGGTGCGAAAACCAGGAAATTCAAATTTTTAAAATAAAATTAAAAATTAAGCTATTTATCAAGTGAATTCTGGGGATTTAATATCCCCAACAAAAATAGAATCAGATTCGTGATAATAGTCGTCTAACTGATTGGAATTGATAAACATACAAATATCTTTTTGGTAATACAATGAACGGTTAGAAATAATTGGATATATTATTTATGACTGTTGGATTGCATGATCACCTGAATAATGTTTAAAGTTTGTACATTACCCCCAAAACGCCATAGTACGGCCAAGGGTGGGGAGAGTCAACTCTATAACTCTCGAAATGCTCTCACATGGCCACACATATATAGTCACTGTCAAAGAAGTCTTACTCACTACCTTTCCTCAGCATTACTATTGTTTACGAAATTGAGAGGATGAAAAGCAAATCTCCAGTGCTTTAACTGGGTTGGTAGACAAGGAGGGTCCACCTAGGGGAGTTGAAAAACCTTGATGCCAAACTGAGGGAACAAATGGCTTATGAACCTATTGTTGGTCACCGGCTACCATAGGACTGCATTTCCTGACGTTGCTCCACTGCCTTATGGGTCAGACCTCTAAATCGAAGGCTCCGGATGTGTCCCCTTAAGAAAACCACATGCTTGGGTCTTGGCACCCTAGCAGTATCACAGCCCATATGTAAATCAAGTGACTTGCATGGTGCATGCGTATTCGGTACTTTTTTTTACCAATATTTATGTTCAAATAAATCAATTAATTTATATACATAAAAACAGATGCAAATATTTATGTAAATTAAGTGATAGGACATATTTTATTATGTAACGTATGTACATAGTAAACATGAACTGTATGCGACAGATCAACGTCATTGTACGATGTATCCAACGTTACACTAGACTGAGTATGGAACCCCTCAGTAGTAAGCATCCATGATCCAATCCGAAATTGAACTCAAGACCTTCAGATATCGTTAAGAGTCCTTAACTTCCGGATCATTGGGACGACAATCAATGGTTCTTATTTTTAGCTTCAATCGATTTGAAATGTTGTGGAATTTTATTGGCAAGGAACTGCTTGACTCCAACATGACTGGTATCACTGATTCTCACTAAAACTCCAGGAACGACATCTTCAAGTTAGTCACCAGTAAGCACATGAGGATTTTCAGTATAGAAGTTGGTAGAAATTGTTAGATTTACGGTTTGACATCACATACCGACTTCATTTAGAATATATGTTCATAAATATATATTTAAACAAACAGGAATAGTTATTCTATAGAATAAATATACTAACCCAATTCTCATGGTTGAAATCATGAGTCAATTGAAGCTAGACCACCGTGGAAAACCTGGAAGCACTGGACGGCCGTTTCGTGGTCTATCGGTTAAGTGCTCCGGCGCGAAACTGGTAGGTCCTGGGTACGAATCTCGTGAGTGCGGGATCGTGGATGTGCACTGCTGAGGAGTCCCATAGTAAGACGAAACGGCCTTCCAGGGCTTCCAAGTTTTCGATGGTGGTCTAGCTTCAATTGACTCATGATTTCAACTATGAAAATACTAAATTCTCCACAAAACCCCCTCTGATCTAACTCAATTCTCTCTAGAACATAGTTGTACAATTAATATATGTACCAACTCATGGGAATGAGTGTAAACATCCAGTGTTCAGCACTTATTAAGAATCAGGAGTCTAGAATCGAAAAAAAAGATTAATATTATCATCACTTGGAACCTTAGAAAAACAAAAGGTTTATTCAATGAATAGATAGATATATATTAACAGTATTACTAACCTATTGTGGACTGAAGATCGAACTCTCTGGAGCTTCGAATTCCGCTCTAGATAACAAAAATAAAAAGAACAACTTAAGTAATTGAAAGAAAAAAAAGACAAATTATTGGAAGTATAAACTGTATATAAACCTGTGGTTACCATAGCAATTTAATAATCATGTGATTGAAAGCAATTACCATAGAAAATCTTTATCAATAAAATTTAAGCTTTCTTTTTTTTCACTCAGTGCTACGTTTATAAAATTAATACCCTACATGACATTTATTGACAGTTACAAGTGTTACATAGTTATTATCATTTGAATATAGATAGTAACATAGCAGAAAATTGAAGATGAAACACAACCACCATATATATAGAGAGAGAGATATAGATAGATAGAAGTATCATTTATAAACTATTTGATTACTTTAATCTAATCAATATCAATTGATATTATTCTTTCATTAGTTCCAGTTGATTGTATAGAATGATAGTTTAGATGGATATAACAAATGGATTAATGTTAGACTATTATTGAAAACTTGGAAGCACTGAATAGTTGTTTCCTATTAGTATGGGACGCTTCAGTAGTGTTCATTCACGATCTCACACGCAGGATTTAAACCTAGGACCTTCGGTTTAGTGCTAGAACGTTTAAGCTATAGAGTAATGATTTGGCAACCAATGGTGTTAATGTCTAACTTCAACCAATCCACGATACTGCGCGAGCGTTTACCACTGTCTCCAGTCAGTAAATGCCTCACAAAAGACACGGTTGAACTCCACTGATCACGTCTTCATATGAGAACTCCAAGAAATCCATCTTGAAGCTAATCACTGTTGAATCCCGGCTCAATGGTTTATAGGTTAAGCTTTCGCGCAAGAAACCGAAGGTCCTGAGTTCGAGTCCCACGTGTGGGACCGTAGAAGCGCATTGCTAAGGAGTCCCATACTAGTAAGAAATGGCCGTCCAGTGCTTCCAAATGTTCAATGATGGTCTGACATTGATTCATTCATGATATCAATCTAAACTCAACAATCTCTACAATCCTAAACTGATAGAACAATAGTGTTGGGTGTTTAAAGTATCAAATATCGTCGTTGTTCGATATCATATGGTGATGATATGATAAACAGTTGAAATGTGGAAATGTTATTTGACAAATTGCAATTTAGGAAAGATTATTAAGGTGTAAAAGAATAGAATACAGATCATAGACAATGATGAACAAAGATAAAAATGACCACTGGGGCAAAAGTAGAGGGTCCATAGCAATGTAAAAGAAAGCGAAAATGTATTTTGTTTTCAGAAACGTTTTTGGGTTTCGATAGATGATTTAAATTAATGGATTAGTTAAGATATTGTTAACAGTGTTGATATATACGGTGGGAATATAAAACAGAGAAATTATACTGTGAAAGGGGTAAAACTCTTGTTATCTCAATAGGTAAATAATGACAAGGTTAGATGCAGAGAACGAAGTAAAGATGGTAAGTCGGTTAGTGAGGCTGTGAATCTTTATGGACTGAGGTATGTGAGACACATGTTCTGCGTTCTCTAATACTGTCTACCTTGAATTTTGATTGTTGACTGATGTAGCAGTGATTTGGAGGAAGGTTAGGGAGAGTCAAACTAAGACCAAGGATCAGTTTATCAAGTTACAGTAAGCATCATTTCCACTACGATTGTATGTACCTCCTGATAACAACTTCATATTAGCACCGAAACTATGTCTAACATTTTATGCCGATTACCTACGACTATCTAACAAACATACTTAAATTTGTCAATTAAGAAATTACTAGATCGTCTCGTACAACCGATCTATACATGACCCATTTTTAAGATTGCATTGTTATTGTTACTACACAATAAATAGAGATACAAAGCATCATGGAATAGCAGAATTTATGAATTAGGTAAACTAACAAGCGCATAGCGTTACACCAAAAAAAATGAGGTTAAAAGGTGAAATTGAATCAGAAAAAAAATATTGACAAGCAAGTGTGTTGGAACAAAAGATTATAAAACCACATAAGTAATCTGGTTGATATAAATAGCATTTTAGTAAGAAGCTTGTCAAGTTCATCCAATTTGGAAGTTACTTTCATTGCAAACTGTAACCAGCGATAGGACAGTTGAAAACTAGTGGGGACTAGGTGAATATTATTTTTCTAGTTTAGAACTCTTAGCCAATGCCCATTTGGAACATAGCACAGAGTTGTAGCAATCAAGATAACATTGATGAATCATGGATTTTCAATTCAATGTTTTACACTTCTCAATTTCAAACGCCTCAGGACATAATTTAATCATAATACAACCCCAATAGTATACTACTGCTGTACTCCTCATAAATTATGGATGTTTACTAGAATCGAAAGTTTATGCAGTACTCTTGAGGATTTTAAATAATCCTGCAGATAGTTTTAACTCGAAGTAGGAACATTATCCTGAAATAGGCATTAATTTTGAGGCTTTTATTTCTTACACGGCATGATGACTTTTTCCATTGAGCAGGTTGTTGTTTCAATATACTATTATGGATTTGAATGTTCACGCCATGGACTAATTTTGGTTAGATAGTCGTTGAAAACCAGACAAGACTGAAAATTTATCTCATCATAGTATTGAATTTCATAGCAATGTATACTCACGACCCTCCTGAGGATCAAACCTAAGGCTTTAAAATCGATAATCCCTATAATACTTTATAATCAAAACTGTTACATGCTTACTAGTGACTAATTTTAATAAGTGATTCCTGGAATTATACAGAGGAACTATTGAAGGATTTAATTATATCCGAATTGAAAAAAGTTACTAATTTATAAAACTAAATAAATATTACGCGATATCACGAAATCGTTTAAATTAAAAATAAGACTTGAATATCCTAGACTCAAACTCTGGTGAAATCGTCGTTGGGTAACATTAGGATAGGATAAATTTCTAGTACTTCCTGATTGAAATCAGTTCATGATGTGAAACTTTAATCGGGCATTATCAACGGATATGTTTAAAAAGACGATGATGATGATGATGATGATGATGATAATGTAAATAGTTAAAAGGAGAAACAAACAAAAAACAAAACAAAAACACACTATAGAAGTATAGAATATACAACTAACCTAATGACTTATTATTAAAGTAACCAACTGATCCATTACATAAATAATCATTCATTGGAAAATATTCTAGGCTAATTTCATTTATACATAGAAACAATCATAAAGAGATATGAATATTAAAAACAAAACAAATAATAATAATAATGGTGAATAAAAATATAATTTTAATGTAAACAAATTAGTTTGTTGTTTTAGTGTACAAATGACCTTGTCACTTTAGATTTTAAAAAAAGTTGGCAACGTCTTTTAGTAGAACAAATGAAAAAAAAGGGGTATTGAATGGAACTCTTTCTTTATATTGTGTTAATTCATTTGTGTGATTGTAAAATTGCACTCAGTCAGTCAGTCAGTCACAACGTTGAACTTTGTACATATGTACATCAGTTCGAGTTGCTATACAACATTAGCACAGAGATGAAGTTGTTGATTCAAATCCCATAGTGGTAGAAGTAGTAAGAGTATAAGCAATAATGTGAAAGATTAGGGTTTGCAGATGTAATTGAAGGAGTATACTTTGAAGAAGTATAAATTGCACTTATCCTAATGTTTATTTATTTATTTAAACACATAAATAATGGTACATGAGGGTCATCAAATATATATGTGCCACACAAATCTTGTTTGATTTGTGTGATGACTGTGATAATTCCCAAGTGCTCAAACTGAAACAGGTGGTTTCCTTAGTGGGGCCACAAACGGAGCCTTTGATCTAAAGGTCTAACCCACAAGGCAGTGGAGCATGGTGAGGAGATGCAGTCCCATGGCAGCCCGTGATCAACGATTGATTAATATGCCATTTTTTTCCCTCAGAATACTGGAGCCCATGTTCACCATTGGTTTGGAATCAGGGTTTTCCAACTCCTCTAGATGGACTTTCCGTGTCCACCAACCCGGTTAAAGAGCCGGACATTCGATTTTCGTCATCTCAATTTCGTAAACAACACCGCTGCCACGAGAATGCAGTGAGTAGGACTTCCCTGTCAAAGGCTATATACGCGTGACGATGTGAGGGCATTTGGAGAGGGAGAAAGGACTCTCCCCACTCTCGGCCGTACCAGAGCATTTGGGAGATCTTATATGTCAATTAAAATGAAAAAGAAACCTTTTTTCATTAAAAGATGAATTTCCCAAAATAAAATTATAATAGTATTATCGGGTGTGTACTATTAATGTCGATAGATATAAATAGTATGTATCATTAATTGAAAGTAAAAGCGAACGAAAACAGGGAATGATTGGTATGGAAACGAAAGAACAATGAGATCTGAGACGATTGATTGACATGTTGCAAATGAAGTATTTACTGTCTGGTTCTCAGATTTTACTAAGATATTCTGTAATTTTGTATTCATATACACATATATTCGATTTTCCCCATTTATGTTCTCGTTCACTACAGTATAATCAGTGATTCATAAATTGTATTATCTAACAGACCAAGATAATATCTACAAAGATAGCGTTGAGAACATTTTCCAAATGAAAGGTATATATTTGAAGCCACTAACTTTTAGTCTGAGCCATGTCGGTAGATGTAGACTACTTAGTTGGGGTTCAAGCGACTACGCAACCAATAGTTGGAGACTATAGGTGACATGATTCAGAATCGATCACAATGATGTAGGTGTATACACTATTTATCTTTCCTTAAACATTGAGATTAAAATTGCTTCATATGTCTTTCTTCCTGTACTACACACTTATATACAATCTTCCTTTTATATATTACCACCACTAAATCAACTACTTCTATGAATTCGGTGTTCATCTTGTTGTGCTAACGAGGTATGGCAATTTGGACCGATGCATATGTATGCTTGGTCCTAGGTGGTAGCTAACTCACTGACTGAAAGGTATATATGAATCATAATTATTTGCTCAAATGATGTCTTGTTTACTGTTTAATATTATATGGAAATTTCTACATTACCAAAACATTTTTCCATTTACTTAAGTTGTACATTGGTATTTATAGTTGTTTAATAAATATATGTCTACAACAAGATAGAAAAGACTTCATTATAAATTGATTCGAGATTTCAAATATCAAATAAGGTTGCGTAATAATAGGGGGTTAGGAGAAGAATAAGAAGATGAAAATAAATTACGAGTCAGAATTATGAAAGATAAGCTTCTTTTTGTCTTTTCGAGCAGGCCTACCACTCACAAATGTGTTGAGGATAAGCTTCCACTTTAAGCCGCATCGATGTGTATATATAGATTTACTTGCTCCTGTGGGGTAGGTTACATTGGCCGTACAAAGAGATCCCTTTCCAAACGCATTTCAGAACATTACCTGGTGTGACTTCTAAGAACTGAATGCAAAATAATCAACAGTTCAATACAGGAGCACCTAATCAACTTTAGATACATCGCTTTAAACGAATCTTACTTAAAAAAATAATCTAAATAATCAAGGAAATTGGACTGAAGGGAAGGCGAGTCAAAAACGTATGCAGTGCTGAGACGTTAGCGATATACCCATCCATGCCCGAATTCCACATGCGAAATGACGTATTCAACCTCTTATCCTTCGTTGGCCCGAATTCTCTACTGCAGTATGTTTTGGCCATGTTTTGTTTTTATTATTATTTTGTAATTTTAAACTGTAATCGTTTATTATTATCCTTCAACAGTTTTTCATGATTATTATTATTTTTCTCATTTTTCTTCATATTACCTTTGACCCGGTCAGACACTATAATCGACATTCTGTTGCGGGACAGAACACACCAGACTCCATTGGAGTGACATAATCGTTATGATCAAACTTCATTGTACGTATTAGATAATTGAGTTAACTTATTCCTGTACTACCTAAAGTTTTGTTCATTTGGAAAAGTGACTTACATTAAGTCACGGAATATTAAGATTTAAACTTTCTACATTAACTTTTTATCATAATAAACAATCCATCTTATGCATAATTTAATTTTAAATTACCAAGTCAAACCCTGGTAGTGATGGTTAGATCATAACTAATAACTAAGGAGCATCGGATGCAGATGTAAAGGCAAGGATTGGCAAAGCAAGGGCAGCATTTCTACAATTGAAGAACATATGGAACTCAAAACAACTGCCAACTAATATCAAAGTCAGAATCTTCACTACGAACGTCAAGACAGTCCTACTTTACGGAGCTGAAACGTGGAGAACTACTACGGCCATCATCAGGAAGGTATAAGTATTTATAAACAGTTGTCTACGCAAAATATTCAACATTCACCGGCCGGATACTATCAGCAACAGCGTTTTATGGGAGATGACAAACCAGCTTTCAGCTGAAGAGGAAATTAGGAAAATAGGTTGGAAGTGGATAGAACATACATTAAGGAAATCACCAATGTGCATTATAAGGCAAGCCCTAACTTGGAATACGGAAGGGAAGCGGAAAAGAGGACGGACAAAGAACACATTACGCCGGGAAATAGAAGTAGATATTAAAAGGATGAATGTTAACTGGAAAGAATTGCCCAGGACAGGGTTGGATGGACAACGCTGGTGAGTGGCCTATGCTCCTCCAAGAGGGTTAACAGGCATAAGTAAGTAAGTAAGGCATCATATAATAATAATCATCTAACTCAATTATATCAAGTATATACCCTTGAATCTAATTGTAAATATATCCAGACACTATGTGAATGTAATTAAAATTGTAATCGGTAGATGATAAATTCATTAACCGAATTCCTGTATAGTAAGTTTTAATAAGCTCATTAATTAGTCGAAATAATAAGTAAGCCAAATCCAAGGTATCTTGTCAACTACCCCCAACCACCATATTACATCTTAATATAGCACACACGAGTCATCTAGACCAAGTGGCTAGATTGCAAATTGATCGATAGAATTCGATTCACATTAAGAATGACCTGATATACATGACATTGGTCACTGCCCAATGATCAATCCATTGCAAATTCATACCTTATACACATAAATATTGGTACAACGAAGCACCAGGTACATATGCGCCTCACAAATCTCATTTGATTTGTGTGAGGGCTATGATACTGCCCAGGTTCCCAGACTGAAGCAGGTGGTTTTCTTAGGGGGACTCACCCAAAGCCTTTGACCTAAAGATCTGATCCACAAGAGAGTGGAGCATCGTGAGGAGATGCAGTCTCACGGTAGCCACTCAACAACAATTGATTCATACGCCATTTGTTCCCTCAGGATACTGGAGCCAACCCATGTGCACCGTTGGTTTGGAATAAGGGTTTTCCAACTCCCTTATGTGGACTCTCCGTGTCCACCAATCCAGTTAAAGCGTCGGACATTTGCTTTTCGTAAGTCGATGCTAAACACCCCATAAATTGTTATGTTTTTTTTCAATAAATGATAATCAAAATGAGTACAAGAGTGAATGAAAACAATCATCTATAAATAAGGACATCAGAACTGATATAATACTTGAGTATGAACTAAAAGATCATTTCTATATAAAGTAAGTGTGTTGATGATGTTGTTTAGAACAAAAGTTGGTTAGATAATTAAATCCAAAAAGTTATTAAGGTATAAATTGAAAGAGTTCAGGTGATTTGAAATGTACAATGAATGGAATATTGACTCATTAACCAAGAACTAATTCAATGAACTTATTCAAATCAGGATTTATATATGAACAAATGTAACCATGATCATTATAACTAATTTATCTCTATTAAGAATACAAATTTATTTGATAATAGAAGACATCAAAATAAAAATAAACACACATATATCAAAAAGTGTGAATCACCTAAAACAACAGTACGTGAAATCTCAAGAGGATATAAATCAAATGAAAATACAATCAGTCAGTCAGTTACAACGTAAGACCAGGCACACATGCATCAATCCAAGTTGCCATACCTCGTTAGCACAACAAGATGAACACCGGATTCATAGAAGTAGTTAATTTAGTGGTGGTTATATGTAAAAGATAGGTTGTATATAAGGATATTGTATAGGAAAGAAAAAAGTTATGAAGCAATTTTAATCTCAAGGTTTAAGGGAAGATGAAGAGAAAACACAATCAAGATGCATATTATTCATTCTTTATGAATATAATCGGAAACTATGGTAGGAACACTGTTCTCATTACCTTCTATTTTATTTATTTATTTATTTAAACACATATATATTGATACAAAAGGGCACCAGATACATATGCGCCACACAAAATAATGAAAGTAGGAAGAGAAGGGATGAAAAGATAAGGCGGGCTGAAATGTACAACCAGAAGATTTTTTCAGTTAAGAAAGTTAGAACCACTCTTTATGAAGAAGTCGTGAAGGACCAACAGAAGCTAGCCCTTTGCAGCTTTCTTTCATGCCACTATACCATGTCATACACTGACCTCCTCTCCGCTTTTTCCAACCTATCCCAGAGTCGGCAAATAATGCACGGCGTAAAAGTCTCTGGGACGACATTCGTCAAACATGTTCAAGCCACCGAAGTCGGTGTTTCAAGATGGTGACACCAATTGAATTATCGTCTCTGCGCCCGAACACACGATGCCGAACCTCTGCATTACTAACATGGTGTTGCCACTGGATGTCAGCAATCCTTCGGAGACAACGATGATCGAACACAGAGAGACGTCTAACATCCTCAACTCGGAGAGGCCAGGTTTCACAAGCATAGAGCAAAACTGCTCTCACCGACGCGTTGTAGATCCGACCTTTTACAGCCAGACTAACATCACGAAGGCGCCAAAGATGGCCCAGATTGTCATAAACCGCTCCGGCTTTCATTATACGTGCATCAATCTCATCACTCATGCCACCATCAGCACTTATATAGCTACTTAGATACACGAACTTCTCAACTACTTCAATCTGCTCACCATCCAGGATGAGTACAGGATGAGAATCCTGCCAGTCTTGTAAAAGTACTTTGCACTTTGAGGTTGTAAAGAACATGCCGTACCTGCGGACACTGATTGCCAACTGATTAAATGCGAATTGAATGCCTTGGGCATTATCGCACAGTAAGACAATATCATCCGCATACTCGAGGTCGAGAAGTCGTTCTCCAGGCAGCAGATCCACACCACCATTACTTACATCTATCAGAGCTGTTTCCAGAATGTCATCGATGGCAAAGTTGAAGAGGAATGGTGAGATCGGGCAACCCTGCCTAACCCCACTGCTCGAATGGAACAAGGGAGAAAGGTGGTTGTATGCCCTCACTCTGCCTGAGGTGTTCGTGTACAGGGCCTTTAAGATGTTAATGAACTTCTCAGGCACACCCTTCTTCAATAGACAATCCCAGAGAACAGTCCTGTCCAAGGAATCGAAGGTAGCCCTGATATCAAGAAACACTACGATTGTTGGCCTGTGATAAATGTGACGGTGTTCTAACATCTGGCAGAGGGTGAAGATGTGATCAATGCATTCTCGACCAGAATGAAAACCAGCCTGCTCCTCGCGAGTCAATCGTACTCGGGTTTTAAACAACCTACGAAAAATGACAGAAGCCAATAGTTTGGACCCAATCGAAAGTAGACTTATCCCCCGATAGTTATTGCAGGAACAACGTGAACCCTTTTTGAAGATAGGGACGACTATCGACTCATTCCATGATGTTGGAACACTTTCTTGCTCCCAAACCTTTCCAAACAACACCGTCAGTTCCTTAGCCAGAAAGTCACCACCATCTTTAAAAAGAGCCGGAGGTAAGTCATCTGGACCAGGTGAATTGTAGCGTTTCAAGAGTTGGAGTTCCTTGCGGACTTCCGCCTCGTTTGGTGGATCAGTCGTCACCGGCCATGGGGGGCAGGACAGACTGGTTGATGTTGAAGGAGCAGCAGGCCAGTTGAACTGCCCTTCGAAAAATTCCGCCCATCGTCCAAGACGTCGACAGATGCTAGTGATTGGCATCCCGTCAACCTTCTGTGCCTAGAAGCCCGACCTGTACATTCAAGTTTCCGGCTAATACTACAATATCTGTCGAACGCGCTTTCTGGAGAAGAACTGTTAACTGGTGGTAAAACTCATCCTTGATTGCATCCGGGCTGCAATCTGTCGAGGCATAGGCGGAGATCACGAAAAGACACCGTTTCTCACGCCAGTTTCTTCTCACTTTGATGGAACTTTCTAATCTAACAGCACATAACCGACTGTTTATGGGGATCTAATCGATTGGTGCTGCCTCAGCTCTAGCGCTTAGTGCAACACCAACGCCAGCAAGACCGGACGAAGATGCCACAGAGTCCCCGGATAAGCGCACGTGAAACAAGCTTTTCGAAGCGACAGATGGAGAGCGAGATCTTCTATTCTGAACTATATTTGGTAGAATCATATTTTAACAAGTTAAACGACCTGTACAACTTTAATCTAAGTTGTAATTGATCAACAAATACTAACTCAACCTTTCTACCCGGTCGTACACAATATGAAAACTGTTTGGAAAATTGCGTCTCTGGGAGAATTATATAATAATACGCCCATTCAGTACAAAGTATATGTCAGTATTAAACGATCAACTGAAGTGAGACAATGTGACCAACGTAATCATGATCTGAACAAAACTGTATGTACATATGTACATAAATGTACATATTCTGAATAAAATACTATGATATTATTGTTTATGGCATAATGCAACGTGTAACGTTTAGGATTGAAACTGATATGTTCATACTACATAGAAAACTATTGAGGAATCGACCCCAAGTTCTACAAGTCGCGCATCGAACGGCTAACCAATAGAACTACTAGGTTAATGACCAATGGTATGATTTCAGCTTCATGCATCACAGCTTGCAAAGATGACAGGACTGATAAAACCCACTATTAGCCCATGAATAAAATTGGTTGCTATGATTTCAGATGAGAAATTTAAAATTTTCAGGCGCACAACCTTAGTGTAAAAACATTGGACACTAAATATGAAATGAAACTAAAATGCACTTTTAAACAAAATTATTACGTGCACTAATTTGCAACTCCATATAAAAAAAGGAAACCACAACAATGAAAATACAAGTAGAATATTTCTAAAAATTACCATCATCAGTCCTTGCAATTAACGTGTGATTCATATCCAAGTACTTGATGAACACTTTGTTGACTCACAGTGTAGTGAACGCTAACCACAAGGGTTTTTGTAAGTAGTATGTAGAAGTAGTGTCGAAGTTGAAGTAGTTGTCGGACAGAGTGAAAAGTTTCAGTGCATTGAGAGCACAGCGTTGACTGAACACTTATAGACCAAAAGAATAGATAGTTCGGATGGCAGAACACACCGGAAGATGAAAATGGATGTTTGAAGGCTGTGCATATGTATTATGCAAATACTTAATAACTTCTCGCAACAAATACACCTTCTTCTTGCTTATTACCATCTTAACAACATCATTGGATTAACTCCAAAATGGATCATTCAAAAGTGTTGCTCAAATCGATTGTTTCTTTAACCTTAGAGATCCCATTTACGCTTAGCCACACTTTCACATATAGCTTAGAAGAAACGTGGAATGAATAAGTTCACTGATGTCTTGTTTCCGCTGTTCTAGCGTAATATGAATTCAACAGTATAATTCCGATAAAGGCGAATACTAAAAACACTAGGTATGTTTTGAAACACTCTTTACAATAGTAACCTCGATAGTTGAATATTTTATCAATTGACAATCATCCAGTCACAGTATAGATTAGTTATCATGAGCCAATAATTTCAGTTCAGTCTTTAAAGAGCACTAAACTCGTTATTCATTTTTACGTAATGGAATTAAGAAACTTATACATACTCGAGTATATTTGACTCAATAATAAGATCTAAACACATTTTCATATTTTCTCGCGAGGCGAGATCGTGGATGCGCACTGCTGAGGCGTCCCACAATAAAAACCAAACGGCCGTCCAGTGCTTTCAGGTTTTCCTTGGTGGTCTAGCTTCAATTAACTCATGATTTCAACGATGAAAACATTGAAATCTCCACAAAACTCCTTCTGACATTTGATATTCAATTTGTATCAAAGAATAAACAAAACATACAAACAAAGTCAATCACATGTTCATATTGAGAAGCATGTTACTAAAAAAAGAACCTTACGTCACTTGATCATCTCTGCAAGTAGGCAAAGAATTTTCAATGTCTGCAACATACGGGAGATAGTATAGCTGTGAAAATTATAAAATACATTGGAGTACATAAATAAACAAGTATAAATACTGTTATATCATCATTAGTTAAGTCCATTAACTTAATTTGTAAAATTTAAGGCAAAATATTGTGAATTGACAGAGTTTGCAAATATATGAATCGTTGAATGCATACTAAATTATCTGGTCTATCGGTTAAGAGCTCTGGCTCGAGACTGGTAGGTCGTGGGTTCGAATCTCGTGAGTGCGGGATCGTGGATGCGCACTGCTGAGGAGTCCCATAAAAGGACGAAACGGCCGTCCAGTTCTTCCAGGTTTTTCATGGTGATCTAGCTTCAATTGACTCATGGTTTCAACTTTGAAAAATACTGAAATCTCCACAAAACCCCTTCTGATTATCTGGAAGACCTCAAGGTCCTGAGCTCAACCACTGCCTTCGTTGCAGGTATGAACTAGGACAAAACAAGTGTATGTAGTGATACCTGGGTTTCAATGATTATTTAATTAAAGTCAACTAGTGATGTAAACTATCATCAATGCCGTATTTAAGAAAGTAAATTCATTAGGATCATAGTATGGAGCAGTTAATGCAGAAATATGTCAAAAATGTTCAAAATTTCTCACAAACTAATCTATTTTATCACTCTACTATTGAAGGTATACGATTTTGATTGCAATTAAAATCTATAAAGCAAGCTCTTTATAATTATTATTGAGGTTAAACATATGGTACTAGGTAAAGATATCGAAATCGGTTAATGAGGCTGTGAATTTTCATCCATTGAGAGGTGGTCGAGACATGTATAACGTATATCCAACCACTGCTAACCTTAATGCGCAATGTTATATAGCATAGAAGCAATTTGGAAAAATATTAGAGGCTAAAACAAACTAGAATGTGACATCAATCCATGAAGTCATTAACTGATGATCAAACCCATGTTAGTAAATGCAGATTACACGGGTGAGATGCTCTCAACTAGTGACTTGGTAACATGGTTGAAAATCGCTCACATATATATTCACTAGTTAATTTCATCTAGATCTTGAGTTTCAGTATTCTTTCATATATATCTATTCATTCCATCTTCACAAAAAATATTTTTATTGTTTAATCTATTTCACTACCATTACTACTAAAACTAGTTCGACTCTTTTACTACTCCATTGTTGAATTCACTTGACCTCATAATGTTGATGAAGAAAAGCAACTCTGACTAATGCACACTGTGTGGACTATGACCAATTGACGGATATCTATTATAATTTATGAGGATTAATATTCCTTAATTATTTACGTTCAGCACTCCATATTATTAATCTCCTTAAATGTACATAGAAAACAGATACATTCAAATGCCCTGGTATGGCTGAGAGTGGGGAAAGTCCTCTCTCCCTCTCGAAATGCTCTCACATCGTCACGCGTATATAGCCTCTCCCAGGGATGTCCTACTCACTGCATTCTCGTGGCATTACTGTTGTTTACGTAATTCAGAGGACGAAAATTAAATGTCCGGCGCTTTAATCGGGTTGGTGGACACGGAAAGTTCACCGAGGGGAGTTGGAAAATCCTCATTCCAAACCAATGGTGCACATGGGCTCCAGTATCCTGAGGGAACAAATGGCATATGAATCAATCGTTGGTCACCGGCTACCATGGGACTGCATCTCCTCACCATGCTCCACTGCCTTGTGGATTAGACCTTTAGGTCAAAGGTTCCGGGTGTAGCCCCCTAAGAAAACCACCCGCTTCACTTTGGGCACCTAGTCACTACCATAGCCCTCACATAAATCAAATAAGATTTGTGTGGCGCATATATATCTGGTGCCCTCTCTTGTACCAATATTTATGCGTTTAAATAAATTAGCTATTATATGAAATGATGAAACCTCTTTTAACATTCCGTCGTCGCGTGAGATACAAAGTTGTTTTTTTCAAATATGATCGATCATATCTGTTTATGAAAAAAAATGATCCAAGTGTAAACTAATTTAGATGATAATAATTACACTTATAGAGTGGGACATGGTTGTTGCCGGGTTAAAAATAGAAAAAAAGAAATCTATTCTATAATGTTTGATTAAAACCATCACACACATAAAAAATTTTAAAAAAAAAAAACAAACTAATATGAGATACACTTTTTTGGCATATTACGTAACAACAATTATAATAGTAACCAGATTAATTAAGATAACTTAGGTTTTGTTAACGTTGTCAATGAGCAATATGACTGATAATCATAGTTGATAGAATGTTTAACATGTTAACAAGATTTTAATCAACAACAACAAAAATGGTTGAAATTTACTTAGTATTGTTTGTTTGGATCTTCCAATTTATGTTTTTGAAGCGAAAAGGTACTGGGTTCGAGTCCTAGAGTGAACATCAACTCTGAGATGCAGGTACATCCAGCTGACGAGTCCCAAATAGGACGAAACGCGCGTCAAACTGGATTCCACTGCTAACCACTATCCATCTTTGTTTAACAAAAATGGTTGCTTAGTATTTCTTGATTAATTTAACAGTATTATTGTAGTGAATGAGAACACAACATTGCTTGATAAAATACAAAAACCATACTCTGATACTTTATTTGTAAAATGTTCTTTAATTGTCTCGGGCTTAATTGTTCCTGAATTTCCACACTAATTGATTTTTATTTCTCTTTTTCTCTTCTTGATCTTCTCAATCTTTTGCTGTCAGATATTCTATTCCTTACTCACTATATATACTACTTATGTGGATATAAGTAGCCAGCAATACATTATTAATTGTTAAAGAAGTTCTTTAATTTTAGTTATCACATGATATATCTATACCTCCTATTTCCATTTATTTACTTTTAATTGAGTGGCCACATAAAAGCCATGAAGTTATTAATAATGTAGGAATTTGGATGAATATGCATCAATCCAAATAGCCATACTCTTATATCAGTCAACATTCCACTAAAGAGTGGTCAGAAATGCATAATACATGTCTTAACCACTTCAGTTATTGAAGGTTTATAACCCTATCAATGGATTTAACTTTTTTACCTAATACTATGTCCCTGATCTCAGTACTACTCACTCATACAACCGTTCATTTAATAAAACTATGACTAAACTGTGATCATATGAATTTATGTTAAATTGTTGTGTGATGTGGGTTATTGATATCCACATAAGTAGTATATAGTGACGGTCGGGCATTGAATGTATTTCAGTGGAAAATCGATAAGGAGAGAACTGGAACGGCACACAATTGGTACGAAAATGCATGAACAATAATAATCGGAGACTATGGACGGATATTTTTGCAAAAGAAACAGTAAAATTAAGACAATTGATTGTTAGTTTGCAAATTAAACTGTTCACTATATGGTTCTCATATTTTAATGGGATAATCTGTAATGTTGTGCTAATATACATTCGATTTTCCCCACTCGTGTACTTGTTTATTTTATTGGCTCAATTTTTGAAGCCAAGATTTCTAACATTGAATGGTTAGAAATAGTTGACAGGGATTTCGTTAACAACAAAGCTAATGATTCAGAAGAGACAGAATCTTATGCCAATAACAACACTCATGCTACTACTCACAAATGTAGTGATAGATCTCAACACTAAACGATCATAGATGTAAATAACCTTTACAAGACTTTTTTCAAGGTATAATAATCATGTAGCACTTAGATTCATGATAATCTATTGAAATTTGACCTGTAGATTCTGAATGACAAAAACAGAATATGCTAAATGAGATCAATTATTGATGTGCTAATTTCAGGCCATTAATATTTGTTAATCTATTTAACAGAAATCTAGCACAATATAGGAAGTAAACAATCCTAAAAATAAAATCTGAACCCAATTTGAAGACCATTATTGGTGCAATACTTTCGATCAATAATAATAATAATAAAACAGTTGAAAACTTCAAAAACTGACAAAAGTTATTCACTTACAGTACTAAGTGCTACAAAAAATCCTAATAGACCACCACCGAGTACATCAGACCAATGATGTTTATTATCGATAATACGTGAATATCCAACAACTAATCCAAGAGCAATATAGATTACTTGAAGACATGTTCTTACACTTGGATAAATGCGGAAACGCGAAAATCGCATTTGAATATAAAGCTGGAAAAAATAAAATAAAATAGAAGACTGTATGATCAGAGATGAAAGGTGTTGGGATGATCCTGTAATTTTCTCGTAAGCGACATGACAAGCTCGTGAGTCATCAAGGAGCATTTCAACCAATCAGCGATTAATTAGAAGTTATGTGAAGTTATGGTACTAAAATAACGAGAATGAAAAAAGTCACATGTGGAGATCCTGATTGGCTGATTAACACACTGCTACTATGTTTAGCAGTATTCCAGAATTTTCGGTAAAACTCAAGGACTCTCAAATTACTATAAAATTCCCATATTTTCTGTACAGAAATGAACCCTGTAGTAAAGTGCTTCCCTCACACTTTGTGCTTTTTCTCTCGTCTTCAAGTCGGTGTATAGTTCTAGCTCGCGGGTACGGAACTAGCTTAGGACCTGAATATAGCGTTCACAATTGGCCAGACGTAACAAAAGGTATGTTATTTAACAGTGTACTATGAATAAATGACTTTTGGAAAAGGATCTTTCAAAATACCGCGATAATCTTTTTCCCACTAAACTGCAAGATAAGTAATAAGAACCAGTAAAACATAAGATCTGTCACTACTCGGTGATCAATCAACGTAGATATTTCAGTTCTACAGGTCAGTCACAGATCATATAGCTCAATAGTAACATCTCAGATAGTAGAACTGAGTGACATAGGATTAAACCACACTGATAGCATCAGTGCCCTCTAGATTGTAACTGCGTTTTTGTGACAGTTGTAAAATAGAACGAAACCTAGGTTCAGTGCTTTCAGCTGATCACCTCTAACTACCTAACATCTAAGTATGGAAAGATTCAGAACTGGTGATTTCTTATTGAATTAACCTAATGATTAATAATGGTCATAATGTCAATGTAGTGGAGAGTTTTATTGATTTGATGAACGAATTACGGACTGTTAGAAAGAATAGAGGTTGAAAGATAATTTGCAATTATACGATGTGATCAATTGATGGTTGATCAAGGGATAGGAATACTGACCTCAACCCCAGAATGATTTGAAGTCAAACACAAGACGACTAGACAAAATAGTTTTTTTCATGTAATAAAATAATATGTTTATATTACATAATATGAACTGTTATATCCCCTGGTGAATTAAGAATGGTAAATCTGAGGTCTATTTATGGATCAATGTAATATGCCTATTTCCTATTGTATAGTTGTTAAATAACTGACCTAATCGCATTCGTGTTCCTCTTATCATAACCTTTATTTTGACCTTTGAACTATTGTTATTGATTACTTTCCCCCTATCCATAGCCACATTGGCCAATTATTGTACAAATGTTATCTTTCTATTTTTTTGGTATATTTTGGTCTGTTTGGTTAGTATATAAACCCAGTATGCTTGTGAATAATGATTCATATTGCCGAGGCTCTTATTGTGTTCTGGACTCAACTGGCTGGGCTAGGCAGATAGCAGGGTAGATACGCAATCAAGACTGCTCGTACAATTTCAAGTATCATTTGCCTCCGATCAATAAATTCATTCCTCTCCAATTGCACGTCCATATTATTACGATTTCATACGTCATAACATGAACACAATAAACATGACAAAATGTCATAGGCAATTAAAAGAAAACAACTTGTAGATCATTAATTCTACAATTCATCACGACCTTACTGTTAGGTCTAAATCTTTGGACATCTTATCGAATTCTTAGTGACTTCAAGACTCACCATCGACTACTTGTTATTTTTTGGGCGGCCTGCTTAAACATCTGGACTACCTGTTCCTGTCATCTATACATTTCAACAAGCTATCTAATATTTTTTGTTTTAATTCATCATTATGGCTATTAAGGACACAACCTATTCAGGTGCGTTTCTGAAAACTGTACAACTTTTCACTGTAAAAGTTACAAAAGGCCTAATCAGAGATGTTGTGTTTGCTGGGAACATGCAGCAAAAAGAATATACATTATTCATATGTTGATTGACTGAACTGTTGACATCCAACTGGCGATCACTGAATGTTTATCATCAGAAGCAACGAAGAAATAAGAAACGTAAACATGTTGAAATACTTTATGCTGAGAATTCGATTTTGTACCAAACAATATAATATTGAATAAAGCTAATAATAATAATAATAATCACTGCTTTTGACCATTCTACTGTTGTATGAACTGAAATTTCTATCTATAATCCATTCTTTTTAAACTGCATTTAATTTCCAGTTTACAAGATGTGCCTAATGATCAGATGTGACTCAGTTTGACGTATTTTGATAAGTTCAATCTTTAATTGGATTAAATAATTGTGTAATGGTTCCTCTACTTATCCATAATAACTGATAGTTTTGTTTCGCGTCGCCAATGTTGTAAACTAAGTTTGGGTACGGTAATTTCTAATGACAAATGATTATAAAGTTCTTCTTAAATCAAACGAGTCTATGCGAACTAAACAGGTCGGATGACTAATACATAACACCTTGACAATGATATCCAGCGTGATTGGAAGAAAAAGAAGTCTTGTAAGGAGGATGTATTGATGAAACTCTCAGAAGAATTCATTTACATCCACATTCATTCAATGATTTCTAGATTATTAAATAATTATTAGTTGTAGAATTGGCGAGACTATAATTTATGGACGACCTTTGAACGAATCGCAAGTGACCTTAAGAAATATTACCCAATCAGGTAATTTTATTTATTTATTTTATTTAAACACATATATATTGGTACAAAAGAGCACCAGGTACATATGCGCCACACTATTTGTGTGTGTGGGCTGTGATACTGCCCGGGTGCCCAAACCGAAGCAGGTGGTTTTCTTAGGGGACCACACCCCGAGCCTTTGACCAAAAGGTCTGATTCACAAGGCAGTGGAGCATCGTGAGGAGATGCAGACCCATGGTAGCCGTTGCCAAATGACAGGTTCGTCCGCCATTCGTTCCATCAGGATACTGGAGCCCATGTGCACCATTGGTTTGGAATCAGGGTTTTCCAACTCCCCTAGGTGAACCATCCGTGTCCACCAACCCGGTTAAAGCGCCGGACATTCGCTTTTCGTCCTCTCAATTTCGTAAACAACACCCCCGCCAGGAGAAGGCAGTGAGTAGGACTTCCCTGGCAGAGGCTATATATTCGCTGGACATGTGAGAGCATTTCGAGAGGGAGAGGTGACTCTCCCCACTCTCGGCCGTACCAGGGCATTTGGGGGGAAGCACAGAGTAAACATATATTATAAAAAACCAAATAATTAAAATGGATACATCTCTTTTATATGGTCCAAAAACTTTTCAAGGTTAGAAGATGGTTCAAAGGTTTTAAAATCGTATTGCATAAGGTAGAAGAAGTCATCCATGTGACTCTATAATAGTTGGTCTCTGGAGCCATGGTAAGGTCACAAAAACCCTCTCAGCCTCGACCACATCTCTCCACTATTCTTTGTGTGTACTCCGGTTGTGTAAGTTTATCATTTTTACTATGTATATGTCCCTAAAATACTCATACCACTGAACAGCCGAAGCTTCGGTAACATCTGCTATCACTGCATGCAATGTTACTGGTGCTTTTATCATGCAGTTCGCGGCAATTATAATAATATGCCTTATTCTCAATCTGGATCGAGCGATAAAGGTTCCTATTCTAGCAAACGTCTTCCTTCAACATATATTACATCGAAGGACAACATCACGGTAGCTTGCACAACGTATACAGGTCACTTAATTACCACAATCACAAATAAAGGAACTCCTCAGTAGTCCCATTTATTGTAGCTACCTAATTGTCAAGTCTTCTCTAAAATTCTCTGTAAACCGATCGTACATGAGCATCAGGTACTGAAATTGGCGCCGTGACCTTGACATCCCTCAAACGCCTCTGATTGGCCCGTCCATTAATTATAGTCTCGCTGTAGAATTTATTAACTGAATAATCACTACTCAAACACAAAATCATACAGAATTGAAAACAAAATAAACTAATTCCATACTCCATAAATTCAGAGAAGTGAAAATGCAATGAAAGACAATGATGAATGAAGTTCATTTTGAATCAATAAATGATTCCTAAAATCAATTTCCTTCTCAATGTAGCACTTGGGGATTCAGTACCCTAAGAAAATAATAATTGATTTCAAATAAATAGGTTACGCTGTTATGCATAGGAAAATTTGGCTGCATTGATGTTTTGTGGATGAATGACATTAAATTTCGAAAAAAAAAACAACCTTTTAACCGGCATTAATAACAATATATTGTATAATTCATTTGATCATCCTTGTCAACTAATATCAAAGTCAAAATTTTCAATACGAACGTCAAGACAGTTCTACTGTACAGAGATGAAATATGGAGAACTACTACATCCATCGTCATGAAGGTATAAGTATTTATAAACAGTTGTTTACGCAAAATACTCAACATTCATTGGCCGATTACCATCATCAACAGCGTTTTATGGGAGAGGACAAACCAACTTCCATCTGAAGAGGAAATTAGGAAAAGACTTTGAAAGTGAATGGGATATACATTGAGGAAATCACCAAACCACATCACAAAGTAAGCGCTACCTTGGAATCCTGAAGGGAAGCAGAAAAGAGGAAGGCCACATTACACATTGTCAGGAAACAGAAGCAGGTATGAAAACGATGGATAGCAACTGGAATGAATTGCCCAGGACAGGGTTGAAATAGAGAATGCTGGTGGGCAGCCGATGTTCCTCTGCGAGGAGTAACAGGCGTAAATAAGTAAGTAAGTAATCATCCTAGAAAAAAGATACTAAAAAATTTTAACGCTAAGTTCTTACTTAAGACGTATTATCTAGCCTTCTTCAAAACCAAGAGGTAAGAGTTAATTTTCCAAAACAACATTAAAAAACCAAAGAAAACAAGAGGATATTTAATTTATCTAACCATGTTTATTACTTAGTTAGTAAGGTCCCTAATTATGGACTAGAGAGGAATTTCGACGAGTAATGAACATGCCCTCCAATCGCAACTAATTCAGAAATGTAAGACCAACATTGATTAGTATACTTGATAAGTAAACATTCAGACGACACAGCCACCTATCATGAATAAAAAAATCGACTCATAATGTTGCACAGATTATAGTCATACAAACAATTCAATGGTAAAATCATGCAAGCGCTAAAAATGGAGGACATCTTCAACAAAACTACTCAAAATTTCCAATACTCGACCACAACCAGAACGAAATTCATGACCTATGGGTCTTGAGGCGAAAAAAGCAAACACAGCTGTAATTATGTGATTTGTAGTTCGGTCACTCAATTATAAAACGATACAAACATCACTGATAGGTATTATTTTTAGCATGGGATGATAACCGATAGGAAATCAAGGATAAGAGTAAAATGATAAATAGTAGCTTCTTTCAGTCTTAGCAACGTTTATGAAGGTGCTATTTTAACCACTTTGGCTAATAAAGTCAGCACATTCAAACTGTACAACTAGGTAACATTCAAGCTATCATGTCTTAGTGAAGGTCAATAAAACTATATACATTTTAAGAAAAAGTAGTATTTTAAGTTGACTTAAAAAGCTGACTGAAGTGTAAAAGATTAGATGAGTAACAAGCTTATTTCGTTTAGCCGCTAAACTATGATATAAGCTCTACTGGAGCACTGATTCGAACTCGTCACCCGATGTCAAGATTAGCAGTTCGACAGTATCACTGACCCATACAAAAACTGTCTAAAGGTCGAGTACATGAACTTGTTACTTGGTTATTGAATCAAAAAAAATCATTCCACTGAAACCAAATAAGAAAAATGTATGACAACTTAAGCTCATTAGGTATTATAAAAATGTATGGTTTTGAAAAGGGGATTGGGTTAACTCACACATAGAAATATAGCTGTATATATTGCAATTGAAGTATGTCCAGATGGGAAAGATTTTCTATAAATATAAAATGAAAAAAAGAGAATGTAAGATAGAACTGATGATAGATAGCACCCACATAAACCTATACATATCATGTAAAAAATAACAAAAAGTGAGTACTATGCTACTGATCTTCTAGTTGAAGTCATTTATTCAGTCAATATCTCCAATTTGAAATGAACATAATTAAAAGGCCATAAATTTCATTAAGAGACCAGCAATTCTTCTGTCACACAGTTACAGGACTGAGCTGAGTAGATGTGGTTGTTGAGTAGACTGGATAAATTAAACGCTGGTTTCATGTCACAGGAGCTCTCCATGAAATCACTATGTCTGAGTAGTGCTGGTATTGAAGTGAACAAGAAGACAAGTGGGGACAATCGAATGTATTTTAGCATAAAATTACAGACTACCTCACTAAAATCTGACAACCATACAGTAAACGGTCAATTTGCAAACTATAGATCGATTGTCTCAATCTTGACCATTCCTTCTGCAAATATCAGTACATGGTCTCCAATTATTATTGTTCATGCATTTTCATACCAACTGCGTTTCGTTTCCATTCTTTCCCAATCGATCTTCTAGCGAAATGCATTCACTGCCTGATCATCGTCATATACTACTTATGTGAATATAAGCAACCCACACCACAGTAGGGCTAGATCACGTTATTAGGATTTGAGGTATAATCGACACTAGTGACTCAAGAATTCTGTGATATGGCCGAAAATTAGTGACAGTAAACCAGCTTCATTCACTCTTCATCTACCCCCAATATCTTAGGTTCAAAAATTAAACAATACATTTTTAGGCAGTAACGGCCAGTGTAAGCCACTAAAAATCTGCTTAAAAATGCTTGTGATTTAGCGGAAATATGGGGACGATCTTCACAGGATGCATATATTCCAAAAGAGATTGATCGATTTCGGTCCTAGACAACGATGAGTAGATTCAAACAATTAGTATATATGAATTAAATCATACTTTATTTGGCAGCATTTGTCCTATTTCTGGATCACTTCCACTAAATTTAGCTCATATGATTTTGAGATGGTGGAGAAGATTTGTAGCTCAGATGGATGATTTTGGTGGAGTTTTGTTTTCTGAGCTGGGTGGTTCAGTCTCGGGGCTTTCATCGTTATTCTGGACGGCATCATCAGCACAAACTTTGGGTAGAAGTGAAGTGTTCAAATTTCCCCACATATGGCTAACAGTTTGCCCTGTTGACCTCGATGTTGATTGTTTACTGCTGACCTTTAGCCTGTCGTTGTTTACTTCTTTATTTTGGTTGTATCTCCTATTTATTTGGTTTTTGACCCCATATTTGTCCATAATTTTTCTGATTGATTGATAAATTGGATCGACTTCAATGTGTTTGTTGGTTGCTGACTGACCTAAGTCTCAAGCCTCTAAAAATTCTCTGGTGTTTTCAGAATTGCCTTTATCCAAGATCGCAACATTTCTCCAGCCGAATTTGTCCACAGTTGTCCACATACATTGATATAATTTCACGCAGGCGAAGATGACGAGGGCGTCCGCATTGTCTGATGTAGTGTTTTTCGTAGTTGGGACAATTTATTTTGTAGATGATGTCCGATGTTTCTTTTTTTGTCATTTCGTCCTTCGGTTTGCATAGGATTGACTGAAGTGATTTCGTTGGTTTGTGTTCTGCACCTATTCCAAAAGGCTTCAACAATCTCGTTGTAGTTTCCGATATGTCTTTTATACATTGTAGGATGATCCGTTTGCTGGTTTTTGTACTTGACTTTGTTTCTCCTGATGCGTTCGTCTGGTATTTTTTGAAGTTGGTTGGGTAGCCGTTCTTTTGAAAGAGTCTTCAGGTATTTATATAAAATCAAGCCAAATGTGTTATGTAGTAGCATACTTTAGTACGCTACAGCTCGATTGCATAGTCCCAACATTCTGGTAACTCAGTGGTCAAACACGTCCGTTTATCAGACAGAGATTCATACTTATTGTGAAGGCTGATAGACATTAACCAATCGATAAATTAAATGAAGCAAAATATCAAAGCTGATTTATCACTTGAAGAACCACAGGAACCATACCAAGTGAAATGTGAACTAATCAGCAAAAGACAATGCTCTGTATCCAGAAAAATCTATGGATTATCAAAGCGTTACTTTCACGGAACAAGAAGAAATGTTCTGTGAACTATCGAGTAACCGATAATTTGAAATCTAGTCTACAACCCATCGTGGTCATGGCCAACTTGTCAACAAAAACTGGTTATTACCTCGGGGCATTTGATTTGTTTGATGAACAAGTAAAATTACCAACATAGCCCATGATCGTAGTTTGAAGGTTAGAAGGTTTGCACACATCAAGAAAATTTGGACGAAGACGACCAAATGAAACTTTACCTACATCCGTAAGACCGATTGTAGCGAAGTAGCCAAAACAGGCTACAATGAGAGAATCATAAACTGGATACAAAATCTACAAAGTTAAAAATTTCATGGTTGCTAATGCAATAGACAAACCACTGGTATATTATGGTAAGTTCGTCTTAAAGATTTTACACCAACAATCACTTCCCCCACAACTATCTGAAAGTAAATTAATATAAAATTCTCAGAGCAGGACGAAAATACCGTAATAAGTATTAGTAGTGAGGAAACTACATAAAGAACAGTACTTGATATAGTGTTCGGCCTAAATGGTTTTTTGATTGATTCATCTTGAATAAAGTATCCTCTTTTGTATGGAGAAACATTCTGCAGAATAGTATTGGCGATTATCACTATAAATTGAGAACGGTTTTGCATGTGAAATAAACTGAAATTACAAGCAACAATAAAACCCAAATCCGATCCCACTCTGATTATACCGGCAATCAAGGGTCTCATGATATACAGGATACCAAATTACAGTAGGACCTCAACACACTAATGCTTTAGAAAATAAGAAAAAATGCACCAGTGTTATGAATGAATAGCATAAAACAAGGAAGCAAAAACATTCTAAATAATTTTACAAAGCAAAAAATGAATATGAAATCTTTTACCAGTTTTCAAAAGTTACCACCTAAAGATTTACTTAACACTAAAGCAATGAAACTTGACAAAAAATGTTTTTACAAATGAACGAGTATTACCGAGACTGGTTGATACCTTCAAGGACAGATTGAGTCTTCAAGTAACCAATAATTGTAGGGAATAATATAGGCCTCCCAGTTTATCCACATTTTTAATGTTTGAAGATTAGCCTTATCAATAAAAGGAAATATGAGAGCCACTCTAATTACTGTTTTATTTTGGTGATTCCCCACTACCTTAAATACATACTTTTAACACCAATATATCAACCAAATTCAGTTTGCTTGGTTGAACATAAATATCAACAAGTCGTATGTCGTTTAAACGACATTTTACTAATTAGTAAAATGAGTGGGAAGCAGATATGCACGAAATTCATGTTGAAACTGCAAGTGATTTAATGAAACCAGATGAGAAATTTGTGTCATTCTGCATACAAAAATCTAAGTGATACATAATTACTAACCCCAGTCAACAAACTACAGCTACCACGATAAATGTGACATCCTCAAACTGTGCGCGTTACCATAGGAGAGAATTAAACCACCTTGTAAGGGTTGTATCCTGCTGGCTGAGATTTAGGAATGGAATGTTGAATTCCTCAGTAAGTAGTAGTTGGTCACACCCCAAGAATGGTAGCTCTAGTATCATCTTTGTTATCTCAACGTTTTGGGTGTTAGAAGCTGTGGGGCATGTATTATCAATAGATTACTGTGTCCCGTTCACACTGAATCAACACCAGTATGATTCCATTATCTTCGTTAATCCAGCCCTATATGATGTTACGGCTTTGAAGTAGCTGTTAATGTATATTGCTACTTCACCTTTTACTTTTTGTATACTATCGTGCCACAAATGTCATGTCTGTCAGGGTCATATATTCATCTGTGATGTCGGGGAACGGCCATAATTCAATGTGTACCATGATCTTCAGGTCTGACTGAGAGCACATCCTTTTGATTTCTCATAGCTTACACGTCAATCCTCTTACTTTGTCATTGAGATACTTGATGGTTTATCTCATCACCTAGTGCTCTCTTACGGCAGTGTCTGTCTTCTGGTTTTTGAATAGATTTCTGTTTAAAGTGTGTTGGCTAGTTCTGGGAGAACTGGTTGTTGTAGGTTCTTTGCCTATGTAGCGTGTTCCATTAGCGGGGTCTTCTGTGTTCTTCATGGTAGATTGCTGATCAAGGTCAACTGACACCAGTGTGTGTTTTGTCGGGATTTCTTGCTGTCGCCTCGCGAGTCTAGGTCGGCTTTCACACGTCTTGTGTGACTAAAGGGGTCTTTATATAACTGTAACAAGCTTGAAAAGCCTCAGTTAAGTCCTCTTGGTTTCTGAAGTTCATAACCATCGGACTCAGAAACTCAATAGTTATGAGGTGTAATGGATGAGGTCTCCTGGACACACTAGTTATCGTAGTGGTGCGGAGGTCTGTGATGAGTAATACCCAAAGCCACTGTTGCATATCTTTACGGTCCACGGTTTGTCGTGTTTGCACGATGCCCTCTGGAGTGTAGGTAAAATGTACTCTGTAGCGTGTGCTGAATCTAAAGTAATCCTCCGTGGAGGTGGTGTAACATTTTGCTAAATTTTAGCACTTATACATTCGACATAGCTTGACCAAAGTGATACCCTTCCCCTATGACTTACAGTATTTGTCTCACGAATCTTTGCCCGAAGCTGCCCTACTCTCCAACACTGGGACACCGAATAAAATCAGACAGTCTTGTCTTAGGTCTTATTATCCATTTTTTCCTGTCGTGGGAGTAATATTTTGCCAATTCTCTTCACAACGATCACGCGCTGCCCGCTACTGTTAACAAACATTGGATTGTTAGGGACAATCAGTAATTTCGTTAGTGGAATATTCGACGGACCCTGTGTTTGATGAATTATATATACTGGTGTGAATTGACACGATTGCTTTCAATGGGGTCTAACTCTGCTCTTTCGTTTGCTTTATCAGTGTATTTCCTCTGCACTGAACTGATTTACCAGAACCACACACAGGGATGACTTAAAATGAACTCATGGTACTGCCTAGGTACTGTCGCATCACAGCAATTGAAAACCCAGCCACTGCAAAACTTAATTCAAAATCCCAAGTCACTGATTGCAACGAGCATCTAGGATGTAACGCACTAATTGTTTTTATGTTGTTTCTCTCTAGTAGTCAGCGCTGCAGCAGTATGGGACGCACCGCTCTCTTATCACGTTGTTTTCTAATCGTACTAGAGGTAGGGTTTAAATAGGGGTGTTATCCTGACTACTTGATTGTAGGTTTAGTTTCAGTGTTTAAGTTGAGTGATCCATTTTGTACACATTACTCAGAGATCCTTTTACTGGTGTTTTTTGATCTTGCTTATAATCCTGTTGCTGGAAGTGAGAATTTTCGGCCCGCATTTAACTTTTGAATTGACGTCTTTAATTCTGGTAGTTATTGTAGTTATAGTGTACATACCATCGGAAACGTTATTAATGCGAATGCGCTTTCCCAAGGTCGTAGCTCGAACCAGGTGCTCCACAAGCCTACTTTATAACAACAATAAACTTAAAAAGCTGCATTACATAAATACTTAGCAAGACCGAAACCCTATTACACTTTTTGTCAAGATTGGATCTGGTATATAACGTGGACGTTATGCGCCTTTGGAAACTATTCTTATGAAAACACATTATATCTGAACGAATGAACTGCTATCAACTTTTATCGATTATAATTTCTAAACAACCTTGCTTGGGATGTATACTGTGAACCAGTATATGTTGTAAATTGTAGATCATGCCTGTAAAAATGGCATGTACCTGCTATTGCAGAAATATATTATTATTATTACTGAGTAGACCTGAGAGTTTAAATCTGGGTAAATGGAAGGGGAAGTACGCGGGATAAAACCTCCGAGGGAGAAAATAATAGAGGCAAGTGAATATATGCTACACAAGAATACGACATGAGGAGCACTTACAATTGCAACGTTACCCTTGACTATCCTAGCAAAAAATTTCTCAGATCATGTTGCAGATGAAGCAACTAGGAAGAAGAAAGTTGGCCGCATCAGTTCATCCTACCGCAAGGTTCTTCAACATTGGTATGGTTACGGCTAGATTCGTCGTTATGATTGGTCACCAGAAAGATGAAGACCGAGTTCGTTTACTGGGAAGTGTTTAAACATTTCAAATGTGTGATGGTGGATAGGTGAGCACTTCCCGTTTCCGATGAAAGACCAACGAGGTCACGTCAAACTCAAAAAGCTCGTGTAAAGTCAAAATCAAAAGGCCTAAAATCGATGGAACTATTATTAAATTGTTGGTTCTTTTATGATAAAAACAACACTGAGTGGCCATGTAACAACTTCTTACATCGTTTTTGCTTAGTTCGGGGATAATTATACGCCTCTGGGAATTCAAAGGTATCCCTCGATATTCATTACATCTTGAGTCACACCCTCTACTAACGTTTGTAGGGAATTGGTCAAACATTACTCTCACGTTTACTGGCATTCATCATAAATCGTCTGTGATGAAGACATTATTTTGATTGACTTGGGAAACATATGTAACGGATATCTCTATGAAAGTCCCATTTTTGCTTAACTGTTTGTAGGGTCTATGAAATCATAGTGAACCTTAGTGATAATTCATTCCCAGAAAGTCCATACATTTGCAAAGACATAATCAAACGATTACCTGTTTAATTCATCTTCCCCAACCACACTAATCACATCATTTTTGAACTTTCGGAAATTATCACTTTTAAATTATGATTTTTCCACTGAAAAATTGATATTACTTGATCAAATGGGACATTTGAGCTGTCTACTGCTTCGTGAGAAGTTCGGAATCTGGATATGAGCCTAAATTTCTGCATATTCATTTCACTGGTGAATAGTCGCACATATGGCGGAATTGCACAATATATTATCCACCAGTTCATTCCCTGACCCCTCTCGTGTTATAGGTATTAGTATGTAAAGGCTTCTATAATTCCTCATATCAGAGCTCAAAATGTCCAGTTAGAAAATTAGTACTTACCTATGTAGCCGCTCTAGACCATCGGGAAAACAAGCGAGCAACTTGCCTGTAACATTTATAATGTCAGTCGTGCATGTAGTCTAAAACAGTTTTATTTAGTAAATTTTGCCGTTATATAATAAACGGGTATCTAATCCCCAAAACAGGAGGTGTAGCTGTCTGACTGACTTGTGACGTAAAACTTAGCGAAAAATGTTTTTAAAGAGCCTGCAGCATATAATACACAGTAATACACTTGTAATACACTTTTCGATCATACCATAGCCACAAGAGAGCTTGATATCACTGATGGAAGAATTGTGGTGTTTCTGGTTAATAAACATGATACTGGGGAGATGATTCTAGTCCACCCATTTCTTTGTGTCATAGAATTTCATTTCGTTTAAGACTCTATATGGTCTAGCATGAACCAACTAAACAATGATGTTGGTGTTATGTTCGTGCGAGAATCACCTCCCTAACTGATGTCCGAAAACCTCAAATTAACCCTACTTTTTGCTCATAAATCCTACTATTGATAAAACTAGACTTATGTTAAAATCAAGGGGTTCACTCGCAACTCAAAAGAGCCAGTAAAAACGGTAATAATAGCTACAAAAAATCAAATTGTGAAGTCACCTGCATATCTAGTCATTTTATATATTTACTGCATTTATAAAAATGTGCCTATTCCAAATCTGCTTTCGTTTACTAAAATCTCTGTTCCTTCAGTCTTATATCCATATGTAGTTAAATTACTTCCCTGTTTTCTCTAATTCTCAGTCCAGGGTTATGG